CAGAGCGCTTACTGGCTGCTTTGTTTATTAATTAGATAAATTAAATAACACAAGCGCCAATCCCCACACAACCCGGAGCGCTTACTAGTCCCTGTATTTATTTATAATAAATATAATGATAAGACAAGCGCTTATCCCCACACATTCTGAAGTGCTTACTGGCCGCTTTAATAAATTATAATAAGTATAATGAGAAGCGCCCATCCCATCACAACCTGGGACGCTTACTGGCTGCTTCAAGTATTTATAATAAATAAAGTAACAAGACAAGTGCTAATCCTCACACAAACCGGGACTTCTACTGGCCACTTTTATTATTCATAATAAATATAATGATAAGACAAGCGCTAATCTCCACACAACCCGGGGCGCTTACTAGTCGCTTTGATTATTTACAAAAAATAGAATAATCTTATCCCCACATGCCCTGGGAGACTTGCATTGTTCTATTGATTTTAAATAATAATAGTGACCTGTAACCACTCCCGGTTGTGCAGTGGTTGGCACTTGTGTTATTATTTTATTTTATCAATAATTCAAGCAAGTAAGCTCCCCCGGTTGTGTAGGGGGATAGGCGCTTGTGTTATTATTTTATTTTATCAATAACTAAAGCAGCCAGTGAGTGCGTGCTTCGGGTCGTGTGGGGATGGCCGCTTGTGTTATGACTTTGTCAATCAGAATAAAGTAAAACGACCAGTAAGTGCCCCGGGTTGTGGGAGGATAGGCGCTTGCATTATTATTTAATTTATCGTAAATTAAGTAAGCGACCAGTAACTGCACCGGGTTGTGTGGTGATTGCCGCTTGCATCATTATTTTACTTATAGTAAATCAAGTAAGCGACCAGTAAGCGCCCTGGGTTGTGTGGGGATAGGCGCTTGCGTTGTTGTTTTATTTTATCGATAATTAAAGCGTTCAGTAAGTTCCTCGGGTCGTGTGGGGATTGGCGCTTGCTTTGTTAATTAATAAATTTTATTATTCATTTAAACTCATGTGGCTGCTTATTGGCTCGTTGGGTTGTTGGGTTGAATAACTTGGAATTAGTTTATTAAGTTATTGTGCATGAAATTGTGTCGAGTTATCTGGGGATTCGCGTCTTGCTCCATGTAGCCAATTTGAATTTCTGACAAGTTTGCCAGTCACATTTGGGGAGAACCACTGGCTTTCTTTCTTCTTTTATTCAGCTTTTGCATTCTTCTCACTAGTATCTATAGCTATATATAGGTCCTACACTGAAAAATTTTTTGGTAAGCAGCTCAACCATCATTGGAAACGCAGCACCCCCTCTAACTTAGTTCGACCTCTGCCTCGGCTCGGGCGCGCTGCGCACCCTGTGAATAGAGTGGGAGTCGCTACATATATCGTAATAAAGCTGTCTTACCGTGTAAGAGAAATCTGCTCATAGCTATATGTGAGAATAACGTGCACGCGTTATTCTCATATATAGCCTATAGGTCCACCTATAGGTCCTTTGTGAATTGCTGTAGCCTTGAGCTTGAAAAAAGTAATCGTGCGTACGTTAAACTTACTGACGAGTAAACTTGTTTTTCATTATACTGCGCCAAAAGTAGGAACTTTCGTTGCGCTTTTTGGGACGAATATTCCTTCTCTTGGTGCAGGATTAACGAAAAACAGAATACGCACCACGTTCGGAGGTTAAGAAATGCATTAGATTTTACGTTAACCACACTTGGCTTCGCCTCAGGTGTTTATTCACGTGAAATCTAAGACATTCTTAACCTCGCTCACTAGGTGCGTAATATACTATTTTTTACTGGTAAGAAGTAACCTCTAATAAAGCATCTCGTATACAGTGAACAGCTTACAGGTGGATGCTTGTGTACACTGTCAAAATTTTATTAGTTTAATACATTTTGTTTTATATTTCTTATGTGCATACGAGAAAATATAATGTGTGTCATGCAATGACAGATTTTTAGGTTAGTCTTATTAAAATTACATTAAATGAAATACGGCATACAAAAATAGAGAAATCAACTCCTACCATACACATTTGTTTATACAAGATACGTTTTTTTGAGAACGCATCACTCATCGGCTACCGCACGGCTCCCGCAGAAGGTCCACTGCCTTACCTACTCAGCGGGTAAACTGCTTAACATTTAGGGCAGGCTGCCTGCCCTGAATGAGAAGGTAGCGTTCTCAAAGAAGCGCGCAGCATTCCCGAATGGATAGTACGAAGCTGACAGCGTGCTTTGTCAAGGAGCTTACTCTGTTGGGCAAGCCTTACTCCCTACATTTTTTCAGTGTAGTGACAAAAATGCAAAATTATATCCTCCTCACCCAACACTGATTCTACAGCCTGTACCTACATGAGATCACCTTGTATATTAGACCAAAAGCTGAGGCCCGAGGGTGGTCAAAATTTTAACCACAAAAAAAAGATACCCCCTACCCGATCTTTTCTGTAACAATTATCTAAGATCATAGATAAGGAATTGTAGATAACGTTATGAATAAGAATACAATATCTATTTTTTTGGGAGGTCGATTTTCGAGTACAAGATACATTATAATCTTGTAGCAAATGGCACTTTCAGTTGACAATCTATTATTTTCTATCCATTGGTGTAAGTTGCGGCTGGTTATTGAAAAAGACTGTATGGCACAACTATAATTATCACACAACTCTTCACCAAAACAAAATCTTATAACCAAAATATTTTTGATCTTCATGAAACATAGATTTCTTAATGCTGATGCGAGTGGCGGCTGGTTAAAATTTTGACCACCCACGGGCCTCAACTCTTGGTCTATTAGGCCGCAGTTACATGGAGCGCATTAGAGCAAGCAGGATACGGGAGCTATTCACAGACATTTTTTGCTTATTTCATTGTCAACGTTCATATTGAAAAGGGGATTCCACTGTTCCGCTAAACTCAAAGTGAGTGAACAGACTGAACAGACCTACACCTCTTTTTCCATCAAGCAACAAAGCCTATGGTCTATGGTGGCAACTATGTTGACTGACAGAGAACACAGTATAGGTCTGTTCAGTCTGTTCACTCAATTTGAATTTAGCGGAACAGTGGAACCCCCTTTTCAAAATGGGGTGTAATCCGTAATCGCCGCCAGCAATTACATATGTAAGACGTGACAACGTTGCGTGGTTGGGGGCGCTACTGTCGATTTACTGGTGATGTGATCTGCAATCCCGTTAGCAGTAAAGCAGACGACGTCAGTCTACTTGCTCTTTTTCGTGACATTTTTGCAGTGATGTGTGATCCCGCGCAATCCCGCCAGCAGTAAAGCTGTTATTTCCATTTTTGCTGTGATCCCACGCAATCCCGCCAGCAGTAAAGCTGTTATTTCCATTTTTGTTTTTGGCACTTGAAACTATTTTTTTTGGTCTGCGTGTTTGCTTACGTCTAGCACAATATGCTTTGTTTACAATCAGAAAATGTCACGAAAAAGAGCAAGTAGACTGACGTCGTCTGCTTTACTGCTGGCGGGATTGCGGATCACATCACCAGTAAATCGACAGTAGCGCCCCCAACCATGCAACGTTGTCACGTCTTGGCTATTGCGGATTACACCCGTGAACGTTCGCAATGAAATAAGCAAAAAATGTCTATGTGAATAGCTCCAAGAATTTCTCCATAAGGCTGTGGTCACATGGAGCGCAATAGATCGTGTAGAATAGAATTGTCCCCATAAGCGGCTGTGTTAAGTCTATTGCGCAGCAGCATGGCTCTATTGCGCAGCCGCTTATTGGGACAATTCTATCCCGCACGCTCTATTGCGCTCAATGTGACTGACGAGCAGGATAGGAATTTCTTCATAAGCGGCTGTGTTACGTCTATTGCGCTGCAGGATAGCCCTATTGCGCTGCAAGATAGCCCTATTGCGCGGCGCAATAGACTTGAGACCTAACACAGCCGCTTATGGAGAAATTCCTATCCTGCTCGCTCTATTGCGCTCCATGTGACTGCGGCCTTAGGGATTATCGAAAAAATGCGTACTTTGGTAGTATCATCATAGAGCTATAAGGATCTCCCTATATCTCTATGATCATAGAGGTATAAGAATTCTTATACCTCCATGGGTAGTATGTAGAAAAGCCGTGATGGAGCATAGACTATAGAAGCCCTTTACAGGCCCGGGTCTCTCATGACCACACTGTAGTTTATTATTTCGGTAGTGAGTTACAACTGGTCTGCAACAGAATTATTTTACTAGAAATTATTAGTATTTGAATCGTTAGGGTAGGTCTATGACAAGTGAAGTCTTACTGAAAAAAAAAAAAACTTTTTAAATTACTTATAACATGATATCGAAGACGGCTGTCAGTATAGCTGTTGGTGTTGCTGGTTTATTTGTTGGCTATTGTTTTTATTTTGATCAAAAACGGCGAAGTGACCCAGAATTCCGACAAAAATTACGAGAACGTAAGTTTTTTCCTGTTTAATAATCTTCAAAAATTCATGCAAAGTGTGCCAAAATTGAATATTGTTCAGAACAGAAGGCAATTGTTCTGGGCATACCTATTTATTTACTCAGCATATTTGAATCTTCGTAATTTTTTATGTTGTATTTTTAGGCAATTATTTGTGACAGTTTTAGTATTTTGATAATCTTAAACATTTCATTTATAGTGTGTTTGTCAACCGTGGTAATACTATTGAATAAATTTAAATTAGATTAGTTATTTAAGTTCTTCACTTTACACTGTGAACTGCTTATAATTTATGTTTTTCATGATTCATATGTTATTTCTAAGGTTACCAAGTATCATACTTTTCTATTTCTATCTAACTTGAGTAGTATTTTGACATCTTAGAACTCATTATAGTTAGATTGTGACTATCTGAAAGAAATAAAATAATCATCTCAAATGTAGAGTGACTTGAAAATTGAAATCCAAACCATTTGATACCAAACTATAGCTCTTAATAAGGTTTCTCGTATAATCTATCTATTAGGCAAAATATAACTTGAAAGAACTTCAAGGTGATCGAATGTATACGTATATGAGTATTACATCAATTTATTATTAATCAAACAAAAATTTAAGAGAATGAAGTTACAGTAAAAACTTTTTAGATGAACATGATTTATAGAGACTATTACTAGTTAGCAATGAATGCCCCTATCACAAGATGATTCACGATCAGAATATTCACGTTCACAGGTGTAAGGAAATGTTTAAGAGAATATATACATAAAAACTAAAATTATGGATTGATATAATGCCTAGCCCAACAAGATATTACTATTTGCTCTTGAATACCAACAATCAAACCGTAATCTAAACCGTTTTAGGATAAAACAAGTCTGATGTTGTGAGTGCTAAGTATATTATTACAATAACTGATAAAGAACTAACAAACCTGAAAAAAATTATTGAAAAAATTATTCTTTTACTTTTAACTGAAAAGACCAGACATACTGGGTTAGTCGGAAACATTTTTCAGACCCAAACATATTATACTTTATTCTGGGATCTTGTTATCTAAGTTGATGCATTAAAAAAAAAATTTCAATTTTGATGAATAGCTTGATAAAATTTACTGATATGGTAAATAAATTAGTCGGGACTCTCTATCCTTCTCCTCCATGTCTCTAGTTATATATGTTGACGCACGTTGCAATCAAAAAACTTCCTCAGGTCTGTTGCAAGAAAAAGTGCCAGAATTTTGCTGTTGAAATTTCTTATCTCAACAACCTCTTTATATTTTTTACAATAGCGTATTCTGCTGTAAGTACTGTATTTGCTTTTAAAGAAGAGTGCTGTTAGAGGATCTGTCAAAAAATTGTTATAAACTGCTGCTAACGTCCTCAAAAAATTTTATCGGATCTTTGAAGGAGTAGCGGTCGATAATAATAGCGGTTCTTAAGAAATTATTGAATGCACTCTCAGCATTAATCCAACTTTGCTCAGATGATTGGTTTATTGATGCATTCTCATCAATTGTTGGTGAATCAGCAGCAGGTGATACTTAATCTATAGTGTCAATTTGCCTAGTTCTGTGATGAATTTTCATCTGTCACTGGTGATGCATTCTCTGTAGGTTTTCTCAATGATGATACAGAATTAGAAGCAAATCCATAAATTTTGTGTGCATTCTCTGCTTGATAATTATGCAAAAGTTGCGAAACGGTACTTGAAGAATTCAATGACGCTTAGAACTTCCATTAGTCACGTATATTAAGCTATCACAACCAATTTAGCACGCCGCAACGGTACTTCAGGTGGCTTAGGTGATTTTCATCAGTTTGATCAAAACCTCTAAAGTTCTGGAATTATGTACATAAAGTATGCCGAATTAATTTGCGATAAGAAAATACTGGGGCCGAAGACTTGATTTTTTTGTAAATCGCTATCGAAAATTCACCAATTTAACACCTACTCTTATGGACAGCAGTCACAAAATCGGCTATACCTTCGGAAATCTTTGATTAACCTCTAAAATTTTAAATAGTTCTTTTTCAAAAATCTATTGAATTCTTAAAAATATAAGGTCAACGCCTTAACTTACGAGAAAATCAGAAGAAAAGTATGCAATTAGAGATAAGTAGAGTGATTGCCAACGCCAATACTACGAAGCGTATCATCCAAATCTTTGCTATCCATAACATTCTAAAAATTTAAAATTATAGAATCATCATCTTCTTTTCCGATGATAAAATTTTCAACTTTGTTTAGTAAATTTATTGTATCACTATCAAACCTATTTGCTAATAACTAGATCACAGTATCAATTATTTCAAAATGTAATTTTCTATAACGCTCTTCTTGACTAGCAAAAATATGACTTTCAGACTTGGAATATTGTTCTACGCGTTTAGATACTTTTCTTTTATGTTTTGCACATGGCTGAGATGGCTCCTCTATTTTTAAATTTGTACTTGATGTTTTTATTTCATCCCAAATTTTTGAAAAAATTTTATCATTTCTCATTGTTTGGATGTTTTCTGTAACATGAAGTACTATNCCCTACTAATTAAAATCACGTGATTTCTCACGTGATCTTTCACGTGACATCTCACGTGATTTCTCACGTCAAAAAGTCACATGACAAAAATCGTTCAGTCTTCAACGCGTTATAGAACTATAAAGTAACCAAAATCAAAATCCATTACCACCAAAAAATATAACTTGTACGTAATTAAAAACATTATAGGTCCAAAAGCCGCAAAAAAAATGAGTGTCAAATAAAAAAAAATTATTTTTTTAAAAATCAATATACATCATTTGGCAATTTAAAGACATTTCAACAAAGATGAAAAAAAGTTTTTTTTTTCCAATCAAGTACTCGCAAAAAATACAAGTCCTGCTTTTTGCAAAAAAAGACAAGTCCCACGAGCGGAAAAAATTACAAGTCTTAAAAAGAAAAAAAAGCTTTTTCCGATAGTAAATATAAGTCATTTAGAGCATTTAATGACGTTGACAAAAGGTTAAAAAGAAACGTTTTTTCTATTAAGTACTTGCAAATTATAAAAATCATGCTGGTTGAAAAAAAATACAAGTCCCACGAGCGGAAAAAATTACAAGTCTCAACAAAAAAAAGCTTTTTTTAATATCAAATATTAGTCATTTAAAGCATTTAGAGATGTAAAAACAAGGATGAAAAAGGACATTTTTTTCAAAATCAAGTACTCGCAAAAAATACAACTCATGCTTTTTGAAAAAAAATACAAGTCCCACGAGCGAAAAAAATTACAAGTCTTAAAAAAAAAAAGCTTTTTCCGATACTAAATATCAGTCATTTAGAGCATTTACTGATGTTTGAACAAGGTTAAAAAGAAACATTTTTTCTATTAAGTACTTGCAAACTATACAAGATACAAGTCATGCTGGTTGAAAAAAAATACAAGTCCCACTAGCGGAAAAAATTACAAGTCTCAACGAAAAAGAAAGCTTTTTGCAATATTAAAAAAGGTGATTTAGAGCATTTAGAGATGTAAAAACAAGGATGAAAAATGACATTTTTTTCAAAATCAAGTACTCGCAAAAAATACAAGTCCTGCTTTTTGAAAAAAAATACAAGTCCCACGAATAATAAAAATTACTAGTCTTAGAAAAAAAAAGGAAGCTTTTTCCGATAATAAATATAGGTCATTTAGAGAATTTAATGATGTTTAAACATGGTTAAAAAAAAACATTTTTTCTATTGAGTACTTGCAAAAAATACAGATCGTGCTTGTTAAAAAAAAATAGAAGTTCCACGAGCGGAAAAAATTACAAGTCTTAGAAAAAAAAAAGCTTTTTCCAATAATAAATATATGTCATTTAGAGCATTTCATAATGTTTGAAGATGGTTAAAAAAAACAATTTTTTCTATTGAGTCCTTGCAAACTATACAAGTCATGCTGGTTGAAAAAAAATACAAGTCCCACGAGCGCAAAAAATTACAAGTCTCAACGAAAAAAAAAGCTTTTTTTAATATCAAATATAAGTCATTTAAAGCATTTAATGACGTTTTAACAAGGTTCAAAAAAAAAACATTTTTGCTTTTTTAAAAAAAATACAAGTTTCACAAGCGAAAAAAATCACAAGTTTCAACGAAAAGAATGCTTTTTCTTATATTATAAAGGTTTTTAAGATCATTCAGAGACGTTCCAACAAGGTTACAAAGTACATTTTTTCTTATCAAGTACTCGCAAAAAATACAAGTCCTGCTTTTTGCAAAAAAAGACAAGTCCCACGAGCGAAAAAAATTACAAGTCTCAACGAAAAAAAAAACCTTTTTTTAATATCAAATATAAGTCATTTAAAGCATTTAATGACGTTTTAACAAGGTTAAAAAAAAAAACATTTTTACTTCTGTAAAAAAAAAAAAGTCCCACCAGCAGAAAAAAATATTAGTCTCAACGAAAAAAAAAAGCTTTTTTTAATATCAAATATAAGTCATTTAAAGCATTTAATGACGTTTTAACAAGGTTAAAAAAAAAAACATTTTTACTTCTTTAAAAAAAATACAAGTTTCACAAGCGGAAAAAATTACAAAATTCAACGAAAAGAATGCTTTTTTTTATATTATAAAGGTTATTAAGAGCATTCAGAGACGTTAAATAAGGTTAAAAAGGACATTTTTTCTTATCAAGTACTCGCAAAAAATACAAGTCCTGCTTTTTGAAAAAAAATACAAGTCTCACGAGTGATAAAAATTACTAGTCTTAGAAAAAAAAAAGGAAGCTTTTTCCGATGATAAATATAGGTCATTTAGAGAATTTAATGATGTTTGAACATGGTTAAAAAAAACCATTTTTTCTATTGAGTCCTTGCAAACTATACAAGTCACACTTGAAAAAAATTATTTAAGTCCCACGAGCGAAGAAAATTACCAGTCTCAACAAAAAAAAAACAAAAAAAAAAACATCTTTTAATATTAAACATAGGTTATTTAGAGCATTTAAAGACGCTTGGACAAGGTTAAAAAAATAC